CCCTAAGAGGGAATTTCTATTATCCTTACCTTACAGATGAGAAATACGAGGTACAGAGAGGTTAACCAACATGCCCAGTGTCCCCCAGCTAGTAAGTCTCCTAGCCAACACTGGAACACAAACAGCCTAACCCCAGAGCTTGTGCTCATTAACAACTGTACTCCAGGCAGGCCCTCTCAGAAACTGCTTGAGAACACTTGACAAATATGTGAAAAGTAAAACAGCATGAAGCGATTTAAGTATCCAAAACAATAACAGGAGAAACATCACAAGGCAGTGTCTATTCATTATTCAACAACTATTTATAGAGGGCATAGCAAATGCCAGGTGCTCAGGATACAATGGATGAGTGAACCAGACAAATCCAGGTCGCCTTCATGAAGTCAGAGACCCGTGGGGGAGGTAGCCAGGCATCAAATCAACATAATTATGTGACATGTGGCAAGTGTGTGACTACCACTCACCTCCAGAGGAGGAGATTGGGTCAGGGGGTCTGGTGTAAAATAGGACAAGGGATCTGAACTGTTCCATGACAAACGTTGGGATTTGCAATGACAGAAAAGAAAGGAGATGGCTTTTCAAAGAGATGATGGCATGGCATCCATCCAACGAGCAGTTACCATGTACCTACTCTAGGCCAGGAATGAAACGAAGCAGAAAAGTTCCAAACTGGAGAAAATCAGTTTAAATCAACATAGGATTCATGTAAGAGAATAATAAAGACATGGAGGACAGTAGGCTTGGCTCAAACCATGAAGAATCCTTGAGTGCTAAAAGGAGTAGGAAGTAGACTCTGTGGGAGTTGCTGAAGATTATTTCGCAGGTTATTGCCCTATAACATTAGGATTTACCCCTATGGGGGTGCCTGGGTGGCTCAGATGGTTAAGCATCTGCCTTCGGCTCAAGTCATGAGCCCAGGGTCCTGGGATCGAGCCCCACATCGGGCTCCCTGCTCCGCGGGAAGCCTGCTTCTCCCTCTCCCACTCCTCCTGCTTGCGTTCTCTCTCTGGCTGTCTCTCTCTCTCTCTGTCAAATAAATAAAATCTTAAAAAAAAAAAAAACTTAAGGAAAAAAAAAAAGATTTACCCCTATGGAATGTCAATGACCATCTGAATTCCTATTTGGGGCCAACCAGACCTCAAAGCTGGATTGCTTTTGAGCAAGAGCTCAGGGCACAAAATAAATACCAAATCTAAATTCATGTAAGCCTCAAGGAATAGAGTAACCCTAATCTGTCAAAGAATGGCAATTGGAAAACTCTGAAGAGGGGCGCCTAGCTGGCTCAGTCGGAAAAGCATGCGACGCTTGATCTTGGGGTCATGAGTTCAAGCCCCACATTGGGTGTAAGGATTACTTAAATAAAAACATTTTTAAAATCTTAAAAAAAAAAAAAAACCTCTGGAGAAGGCAACAGGTAAAGGAAAATGGGAAACTCCCCTGAAAAATCTCACGTGCCATTTCTAAAACCGAAATATTCTTTCACATTCAAATGAAACTTCCAGTCTTCCAAAGGAAACATATTTCTATGAGAAAATAAAACACCATTCTTTGAAAAACAAATTCTTAGGCTTAACAATGGTCTGATTTTTAATAAAGCTGGTGACAACTTACCTCAGGGCACAGGTGACATAACTCTGGAAAGTAAACTGCTTTTCAACACATTCACCTCAGAGTTCCCAGTTCCCTATCCCCTTATCTACACAGAGTGGAAGAACTGAATTACTTATTTAGTTAGCATACATATCAAAGAAAGCTTTTCATCCTCAGGTCTTAATGTAAACAACTGAGTAGCTAGACAACCTCTGCAAAACACATTTTTATTTATTTCCACTGAGTAATTTTTTTTTTTTTTCTAGCCAGTAACCTTCCACAGAAAAGTAGTTCATAAAGATTCTGCCCTGGCTTCCCCTTGTTCTGAGAATCAAACCCAAATTCTTCCTCAGAATTTCCAGGCCCTATATTATTATCCGACTCCCTTCAGGCTCTGGAACACCTTTAACAACTCCCCCCACCCATGTCACTGGGGCTGGCCATCCTGGCTTGCTTTCTGTTCCTCAAACACCCTGCTGTCTGTTTGCCTGCCTCAAGGCCTTGGCTCTTCTTACTTGTCCCTCTGCCCTTCACAAGGTAGGTTTATTCTCTCTTCTCTTTCAGGTCTCCGTTCAAAGGTCACCTTCGCTGCTAAGAGGCCTTTCCTGACCATCCTTGCCAAATAAGCCCTTCTCAGGTCTCCATATCACATTTCGTTACTTATTTCCTTCATTGTTCTTCCTACAATCTGTGAGGATCTTCTTCACTTGTTTACTGGTTTGTTGTCTCTATCCTTTGGTGGACTATAGCCTCTGGGAGACTCCACAAGGGCAAGGATCATGCCTTGTAGTAATACAGGACCTCGTGCCTAATAGAGGGCTTTGGCAAATGGAAGGTGCTCAACAGATTTTGTCAAATAAATTACTAAATGAATGAACAATATATTTAAAAGCTGATTGATATGAACGTCAGTAACTTGAAAAAAGCTTTTTTTTCCCCCCTCTAATTTTGAGATGGCTTCTCTAGGGCTGTTCATTTTTCCATAATCTTTCTACATTTTCTGAAATCTGATGATGCCTGGCAAATTGTTGAGTTATTTCACAGCAGTAAAAATAGATCCGTTTCAAGCACTGGATTTAAGAAAAAATACTTTGAGGAGGTTGTAGTAGTTTATTAAACATCCAAATCAATTTGAAAACTGCTTAGTCTCATTTCACTACTGCAAGTCAAATGACATGAAGAAAATTAATGTAAAATGTAAAGAAAATGAGAAAGACAATTCATTAGCAAACTGCAGTTAAGTTTAGTGACATCAGAAACACCCAGTCTGATAACCTCTAGGTCTTCCGAGTGGGTTTATCAAATACATGTTGAAAAGATTCAGAGCAAAATGCTCAGGATGAACTCATAACCAACTTTATTTTTTTTTTCTGGCAAACAAATAGTTCATATTGGTGGCAATCTTAACTTAGACTTAGTATCAATAATAATCACAAAAGGAAAAAAAGTAACAGAATGACACAAATTGTTTTCCTTGAAACAATTTGCAAGTTAGTATGTCTTTCCAGAATGGGTTGCCAAGAAAATCACACATTTAGGTTGGCCCTATTACTATAAATCCTCTTTCCCTACTCTATTCCATTTTTTTTTTAATAAAACTAAAGTGAAGTCAGGAATTTACCAAACAAATGAGGGAAACTACAGATCATCCGCAATCCATCTAACTAAACTGATAATCAATAGCCATTATTACTGTTCTCCTAAAAACTGCTTTCCTCAGAACCTCAACTTCAAACTCTATAGAGTCACACCACACTTTTCAAAGTGTGCTTATGAAAGTGCAGATTTTAAAACCAGGGGAAATTGAGGCTCTTATTCACCTATTTTCTAAATACATCACCGGATGCTGCAGCAGAAACTTAACATTCCTTGTCTCACTGCCAACACAATTGCTACCAGGACAGTGAAGTTTAGCCCTTACCTTCATTCCCAACTCAGTTTCTTCTGAGATTACTGCCCATTAATGCACATCATGTCAATGGCAACACCTGATCACATATCCAGCCGACAATGCTATCATTCTAAGTATAAGGATAGTAATAAAAACTTGCAATTCAAGGAGCTACTATTTTTAAGTGTAAAATGTCATAACTGCTTGGTTGATCATTTCACTTTTCTCCCTTTTCAAATCTGAGCACTAGATACAGCCCATTTCCAAAAAAACACAGCCACGAACGTCAGCATGTGCTAATTCACTGTATCTGCCTCCACTTTCAGCCTCTCCATTCAATTTTCTTCACACACTAATTTCAGCATTGAAGTGAGTAAATGAGCCTCAGTATGGGAGCGACTGGACATCGCTGAGAAAGTAAGTGGTACTGTGTGAAATTGACTTAAGCAAACTAATCTCCAGTCCACAGCAAAGTAGTCTCTTTTGTAACTCCGTGCTTTGTAAATGCTGCTTCTTGAGGGTTTATGCAAATAGGAGATGTACACTAAGAAACTCTGGCTTCTTTAAAAAAAAAAAAAAATTTAAGGCAGGTGCCCTCTCAACAAACGCAGTTTGAAACCCCGGATTTTCTCAGTTCCCATGCAGTGTGCTTAGTAAACAGCCTACGCTAACTTGAGTGACTATCCCAAACCCCTAGAATTCTTTCTGAGTACAATAAAAGATGAACATTCCAGTTTGCAGATGGAGAAATGGAAGCAGGCATCCAAAGTCTCTCTCTCTCTCTCTCTCTCTCTCTCTCTCAGGCCTGCTCAGCAGTGGAGGAAGAATCAGATTTAGGGCCATGTGCTACGATTGCGTACAAACACACAAACATATATAACATACATTTCAAGTGGCTGTGGTTCTTGGACTAAGTTATTGAAACCTAGAAAGAAACTTTTGAGTTCCTTAGCTAATATACACTAGAAGATCATTCCCATCAATTTCAGTAAGCCGTCGGCTAGACAGCAAGCTTCCAAGAAAATCATTAGTCAACTGTGATTAAACCAAAGAAGCCAAGACATTCAGAGATGAAGACGTCCAGAGAGGAGTTAAAAGCTTCGAAGAAGAAGAGTGTGCTCCTGCCTCGGGAGCCAGCAGCGAAGCCTCGCAAGTTAGAAGATTCCGAGGGAGGGATGGGCTGGGAGGCACAAAGCCGAAACTGTTAGAGGGCAAGAGACAGTGGGGCTGGGGCGAGCAGAGGGACCCCAGACCATCAGGGCAGCGACAGCGAAGCCCGGACAAGAAGATCTTGGAGGGATAACAAAGAAGCAAAGGAAAACTGGGGTCTGTTGGGGGGGGGGGTTGCTGAAAGAACCCAGGCGTCTGGCTGAGCCTCCGAGTCCGGGAGGTCAGGATGAGAAGGTGCAGGGATGAGCGCGCACCCGCACGCGAGAGAAAAAAGAAGGGGGGGGGGGCGTGCAAAGAGCCCAGCTGGTTCCCTGTCCCTCTGCCCCCGGTGCAGATCGCAACTCCTTACCGCGCACCGCCTCGCCGCGCCGGGTCCGGGAAGCGGGGAGGTGGCTGATGGAGCCCCTGCGACTTCAGGACCCTGCCTCACGTTGTTTGCCGCGTCCCCGCGTCCCGCCGCCCGTCAGCCCGCTGCCGCGCTCCGAGGGCCAAAGAGCGAGTCGCGCGGCGCAGCCGGGGCTCCCTCCGGCTTGCGAGACACCGGCCCCGCACCTCCGCACCCCCTTGCTCGCCCTGGTCGCTTCGCCCTCGCGCAGGCGGAGAGCACGGACCCTAACCCGAACGCCGCTCCACTTATTTTCGAAAGTGCCCGTTCCAGGCTTCCCCGGAATGCCAGCTGAGCTGCGGCGGCCGCAGCGGCAGAGCCTCCGCCTGACCTCACCGGGGGAGGGGAGGGGAGGGGAGGGGAGGGGGCGGGGGGGAGCGGGAGGGGGCGGGAGCCCAGTTAAGGAGGGGAGGGGGGCGGGGGGAGCGAGCGCGCGGGCGGGGGAAACATGGCGGCGGGGGTGGCCCTGGCGGCGCCTGCGCGGGACGCGGGAGGCGGGGGGCGGGGTGGGGGGGGTGGGAGAGCTGGGGCCCGGACGGTGTGTAGGGTCCGAGCAGAACTCCTCCCCCACGGCCGGTGCGCGGCGCGGGTGGGCCCGGCCGGCCAAGTGGCCCTCACGCCTCCGAAAGCGGGACTCTCGCGTTTGAGCCCACATGGCCTCTCGTGCCCAGGAGGCAGGAGAGGTGAAAACCGTCAAATATCCAGGGCCGGCAGCGCGCCCGGCCCGGGTTGGCCGCTCCAAGGAGGAGGCCGGCCGTAGTCTCGGCCCCTCAGATTCACGGAGGGGCCCGGGCACCCCACCTCGGCGGGGCGCGCCCCTCAAAATCAGCCTGCCCGTGCGCTGAGCGCCTCGTGTCTCCCCCTCCCTACGGGAGTGCGGAGCAGTAAGAAAAAGAGGAAGAATACCAACAGATCCAGCAGTTTCACAGTTTACTGAGCCTTTACTATAAACCACGCGCTGAACTGTTAATTCCCTGAACTCGCACAGCTCCTCCACGAGGAGGGCCACATTACTCTCCTCTCCGTTTGGCCAGTGAGAAAACTGAGGCGTAAAGGTCAAGCAAGTTGCGAAGGTGACAGAATTAGGAAGGGACAGAGCAGGACCCAGGGTCCCAAGCTCTTAACCGCCGGGCTCTACCGCTTGCAAACTGGTAGGACGGCGGCTATTCTAAGTCAGAATCTTGACTCTCGCTCCCAGTTCGGTCAGCCTAGCCCCCAACAAAAAACCCCAGTCCAGCCTGTTGTTCCCCCTTGCAGGTCTTCCAGTCATTCCTTGCCTTCCAGAAGGTTACAGGCTGAGGCCACCTTCTTACACCTCTCCGTTCGCCTAGTCTACTTGTAATTCCAGTCTCCTCCTAGGATAAATAGTGGGCGCTTGCTGTAAACAGCCAGTTTACTCACTGTTTTGTTTTGTGTTTTCCTTAAGGAAGTGATGGGCTGAGTGTGGGGGCTGTAGTTCCTTACATTTCCTAATACTTCTCCCTTTGCCTACCAGTAAATGGAGCAGGGATCTGAGCTCTCAGCATTGCTGACTTGGTATTTCAAATTCCATGCGCTGAAATTCTAGCAGCGGGTTTGAGGTAACTTTGAAAATAATCAGCTGCTCAAAGACTTTCTAGAACTAAAGACGTGACCACATTGTTCGGCTTTATCAAACTAGCGAAAAGAAGCAACTCCAAATGCACATGGAATTTGCATTATTATCTTTTACCTGTCGGTATTTTCAACACAATTCATCTTTGTTAACCGGAATGCATTCGTTGGCTTCTCCACCATGCTTATTCATTAATTACCGTATGCCTACATTACACACAAAATGCCTATTATGCCGAAAGCACCTGTTACAGAAGTTTACACTATCACTGAGGAGATACGTTTAAAGCAATCGATTTCAGCATATATTAAAAACCTGGCAGGTAGGTCAAAAATAAATAAAAACTGAGTTGATACACATCCAAGTCATTGTATCACCCCGCCATAAAAAGGTTCAAGTGGGGTTGTTTTACAATAAATTCTCAAACAGAAAAGACAGGAAAATGGGATAATCAGGTGTGGCCCCAGCGGCCCTTAAGTCACAGGATGAGAAAACCCTTCATGGCGCATAGCAAGGAGAGGGTTAATTACAGAATCTGAATTTGAACAACCAGATGGGAATAAGACATTATAAATCCACTTATTCTGTAGGAATTAGTTGCTGTTTGGGTTAGGATGTTTTGAATAGCTAATCTAGTGGACGGAGCACTCCAGCTTGGAGTCAGAAGACACTTATGTGCTATGTGACATTTTTAGCCCCAGCAATTCTCTGAGTGTGTTTTCCTGAATTTACAGTGGGGATCATAATGATATTGGCCGGACCTGCTCACCGCGTTATTCTGGATTTCAAGTCAAATAAGGCATGTGAAAGTATCTTATAAACATGTAAAGAACATATGCAAATGTAAAGTGACGTTTTTATTAATATCAGACTGGCCACTACACAAGCTACAGATGTAATTATGAAGGATTTTACATGCTAACCTGTACCCAAAAAATGTCAAGAACTGAGAAAAGCATTTGAAATACAACTGTACGGTAAAAATCTAAAGAATGGGGAGATACAATAGAGATTCAAGAAATACGAAAACAAGTCAAAAGAAAATATTGGTACAAAGAATACAGAAAAGGGTAATGGCTATAAGGGGCTGAATTGTGTCCCCCTCCTCAAAATTCATATGCTTGATCTTAACCCCGACACATCAGAATGTAATCTTATTCGGCAATGAATTCTTTAAAGAGTTAATTAAGCTGAAATGAGGTCTTTAGCGTGGGTCTTAATCCAATGTGACTGTTGTCCTTGTAAGAAGAGGCGATCGGGACACATACCTGCGCGCACACAGAGAAGAGACCACGTGAGGATACGGGGAGAAGTTGGCCAGCCGAGGGAAGAGGCCTCAGAAGAAACCAAACTTGCTGACGCTTGGGTCTCCGACACGTAGCCTCAGTGAGAAATGTGAGAAAGTGCATTGCTCTCATTTGCTGCTGTTCCCGTCATCCAGTGTAACAAACTAATATAATGGCAAACATTTTAAATTCCAGCTAGAGTATCCTCTGTATTAGTCATTGTTAATGGCTGCACAATGACCTGCCACAGACTGGGTAGCCAGCCTAAAACCACACACATTTCCATTTCCGTGGGTCAGGAGTCCAGGCCTGGCTGAGCTGGGTACACTGCTCAGGGTCTTACAAGGCGGCAAGCAAGGTGTCAGCCGGGCTGCATTCACATGGAGAGCTCAGAGTCCTTTTCCAAGCTCATTCACATTGTTGTCTGAATTCTATGCCTCATGCTTGTAGGACTGAGACTCTCAGGATCTACAGGGTCTAAGAGACTGCCCCTCTCCATAGGCAGTTTATAACATGGCTGTTGGCTTTGTCCGGTCAGCAGGAGAACTCTCACCTCCAGAAGGGACTTGAATTACATCTTCAAATTCTCTTCTCCTTTGTCTTATAATGTAGCCTAACCATCAGAGTGACCTCAGCATATGCGCAGGTCTCAACTACACTTAAGGGGAGGGGAATTTATGGGGCATCTACACCAGAGGCCAAGGATCTTGGAGGTCATCTTAGAATTCTGCCCACCACACTCTCCAAAGTTTTGATGGCACCAGTTTAATCATATATTTATAAAAATTCACCAAGACAGAGACCACATAGGCAGATATGGACACACACACACGCACACATGCGCCAAAAAAGCACAAAGTCATGGCAGAGGCCTAGTCCCTCAAGAAATATTTGGGTGGCTCAGTTGGTTGAGCGACTGCCTTCGGCTCGGGTCATGATCCTGGAGTCCCGGGAGCGAGTCCCGCATCGGGCTCCCTGCTCAGCGGGGAGTCTGCTTCTCCCTCTGACCCTCTTCCCTCTCATGCTCTCTCTCTCTCATTCTCTCTCTCTCAAATAAATAAATAAAATCTTTAAAAAAAATTAAAAAAAGAAATATTTGTAAACCTGCTGTGTGCCTAAGAGCTGTGAAACCAAAGGATTACAATGATGTTCACTCTGATTAAAGAACAAACGAGAAGTATGAGGACGCATTTTTCATCTCTCTGCTCAATTTGTGTTTCTTTGAAACATTCATCTGATCCATTACTGAATGGAACCAGTATTTATGGAGAGCCCACAGGGTGTCTGCTTAGCCCTTTACAATAAATTCTCAAACAGAAAAGACAGGAAAAGTGGAATAAGGAACTCCGCAGAGTGGAATAAGGAACAGAATCAGGAGGAAGGTTTCTATTCTCTTGTGGCTCAGAAACTAGTCCAGATAAGAAAAGTTGCCAAACACACACACACACACACACACACACACACACACACTATAGGGAGGTCAAGGCAGGGTTGTGTGTTTAAACACAGAAATAAATAATTACATACTTGCTAAGCGAAGAGAAACCAACATGCTCCCACCCCCTTAGTCAGATGATGAGCTCTAGAATAAGTGAGCTCTTACCTGGGCATTAAGGAGAGGTCAAACTCAAGCTGGAAGAGTCAGAGGGAGGAAAGGATCTGAAAGATGTGCACAGGTTTTCTAACATCAAGGGATGACCCTAGCCATAACCACACTAACTCTGTGTGGGGATCTTGGAGAAGACTCTAACCCTGCCCTCTTCTGTCAAAACTTTTCAGAGCCAGCTTCTCAGCACAGCTCCTATTCATTAACTACTTACAGGAGCTCAAATCTGGAGGGCTAGGAATCAAAACTTTCCTGGGGACTCTGTTATATAAGGTTCTAAAAATAAAGATATAGGAGGAGCTCCTCTCTCTGCCTTGATGCTCCCGTCTATGTCCCGACTCTACAGAGAACTGCACCCACAGAAACCCCCACTGCCCAAAGGGTCCTCAATTTCTATGTCTCAACTGACTTCTTATCCTGTGTCTTCAAACAACACACAAGTTTCCCTTTTAACTTGCCCATTCGTAGCCCTCTGGCTGCAGTCCTCTCTCCTTCATCCTTTCATTCATACCAAAAGCTCATCATGGGTAAAGGCCCTGAAAAGGGAATGAGCTTTGTGCCTTTGCAGAATGAAAAGAGGCCACTGATGGGGCGCCTGAGTGGTGTCTGCCTTCAGCTCAGGTCATGATCTCAGGATCCTGGGATCAAGGCCCCATCTGTCTCCCTGCTCGGGGGGGAGTCTGCTTCTCCCTCTGCCTCCTCCCCCTGCTCATGCTCATGCTCTGATTCTGTCTCTCTCAAATAAATAAATAAATAAATAAATAAATAAATAAATAAATAAAATCTGAAAGAAAGAAAGAAAGAAAAAGAAAGAAAGAAAGAAAGAAAGAAAGAAAGAAAGAAAG